AGACATCCCAACAATACTTTATCCACAGACTGGTACACAAAACCAACATACTCTGGCAGATTACTCAACTACTATTCTCAACACCCCTTTCACCAAAAACTTAACGTTGCCAAAAACCTCATTCACCGATGCTTTTCTCTATCTGACCCTTACCTACATGAAACAAACACTAGACGCATACAACGGATACTATTGTCTAATAACTTCCCCTCCAACACCATTAAAAAACTTATTACTGACTACAAAACCCGCCCCTCATCCTCCATCTCTTCTCAAAATCAGCCCCCCATTCCTTTATATAGATCTCTACCATACATCCCTTTACTTTCGGATAGAATTCAAAAATCTTTACGTTCCTCTATTCCCAACCTGCGAGTTGCTTTTAAAAACTATAACAAACTTGCCAATATTTACTCCAACCTAAAAGACCCCATCCCTCCGCAACACCGCTCTAATATCGTATACCGCATTCCTTGCTCTACCACCAATTGTAACTCCGCCTATATTGGAGAAACCAAAAACCAACTTAAAGACCGCATCAAACAACACAAATACTCAATTACTTCTAAGAACTCTACTGCTTCTAAACTCTCTGAACACGCCTTAACCTCAAACCACACATTTGACTTTGACAATACCTCCATTCTTGCCACAGTACCTAACCACGAAAAAAGACTACTTACGGAAAGTGTTTTCATTCAATTAGACTACAAACCACTTAACTTAAAAACCGACAAGCAAAATCTATCACTCGCCTACTCCCAAATCATCAACATTTTAAAAAAGTCTCGATCATAAACCTGTATTTAATCTTCTCACTTCCATTTATACTTTCTTTTACTTCTCCTTTTATATATATATATATATATGTATGTTATAAACGCATACATACATAACATATATACACATACAAACACACACACATACACACACACACACACACACACACACACACACACATATATATATATATATATATATATGTGTGTGTGTGTGTGTGTGTGTGTGTGTGTGTGTGTGTGTGTGTGTGTTTGTATGTGTATATATGTGTATTTATGTATGCGTTTATTTTTACTAGAACTTTTTTTTGACACTGCTAACTAGAGTTTTTGACACTGCCAGTGTTTCAACCGCCTCCCGCAGTGCCACATCCAACGGTATGTTTTGACTTTTATTGAGATTCCTTTCTTAACACACCTATCCTTCAACTATACACCTTATTATTATCTTCATACAGCCTACCATTCCATTACCGCTTTCAAAAAACTAAATGTCAATTGTCATCTATATATAGTACAACCTGTTTTTTGTTTCTTTATCATCATAACCTTGTTTTTACATTTATTCTTACATTTTAAAGTATTCTTTTAAAATTATTGTTTTCTTATAGAGTTATTTATACTTAATAATCTATCCCAACAATATTACACTAATGTTACCCTATTAATCTTTCAATTTCTTCACTTCTTAACCTTTGGTCCCGTTATCTGTTTATTTACAATTAAAGGTAACCTCCACTTGCTTGTTATCCACTGATATCTTATTATTATGTTATCTTATCCATATTTTAACTTTACTGTAACAATAGTTATTCAATTTTCAATCAATTTATTCGTTAACATTCATTTATTCGTTAACATTCATGTATTTATTTTCTTTTATCTATTTTCTTATCATGTATTTATTTTCTTTATCTTTTATTTCTGTATCTGACAACTTCTTCGTAATTTATATATACTTATATTTATTTTTTATTTTATTTTTATTTTTTCAACATGTTTGTATCTTTTGTAGCCCTGAAGACGACCTGCAAAGTGGGTCGAAACGTCGGCAAAAATTAAAATTATTTATATATTTTAATTTTTTTTATTTTTTTGACCGCACCCTCGACTAATTCCTTCTCATATCATATCAACGGTCAACCAACTCTACATCATTTTAATATTAATATTTTTAAAAATGTTTATTTATTGTTTTATGTGCATTGTTGACAATTTTAGATTTTATATTAATTTGATAATTGGAACTATTTTAACTGTCTGATTTTTACCGAATATGATTTTTAATTAATGATAAGAGTGTTGTAATATCTGCTATGTAGTATAAAAAAAAATGAATTTCTTTATTTTTTGGCAATTTGTATTTCCATAAGGATAATAAGGTTTGTTATTTTGTGATTGACTCCATTTGTATAGGGTTCTTCTCTAAAAACAAATAAAGATTGAATTGACCCAAGTGATGGTCGCCCTGAGCCTTTCTTCTTTTTGAAACCAAAGCTATACAGTTCACTCATCAAGGACATCTTCTCCTTCAGTTTTGTTGATTTCAGGAGCTGCTTCAGTGGCTGAACAAGATTTTTTCCAATAATCTCTTAAATAACAAGAATTTTATTAGACATCGCCATGTTGCATTTTCAATAAAAACTTTTGAACTAACACTATAACGGTACATCGAGCCAATCTATTGTTACTAAATTAGCTTAGATTAGTATTCTAAAGAAATAATATATTGTTGGTAAACAATAAATAAGACTAATGTGTTTACAGTTCTTAGGATTCATGCTTTTGACGAAAGGCTTTTTTTTTATCCAGCCAATTCAAGTGAACAAAACATAATCTCAATTAGTATCAATATTCATGTACTAATAAACAAATAATGAGATAAATTTATTATTTTACTTTCTTTTAATTATTTTCCATAATCATAACTACAAATACCATAACCATATACCAGTTTTAACTACAAAAATAATATTTTTCAGTTTCCTAATCCCTTCAGACATAAACATTTGACAAAAGATTTGCAAGTATGCCAATTAATGGATAAGTCTGTTGATGTTAATGAAATTCCTCCAACTTTTGATGGTAAATTATTGTTCTAATTATATTTGTAAAAGAACTGTTTAAGTTTAAAATAAGATATTTTAATTAAGAGGTAGTAGTTTAGTTACTCTTAAAACAAAATAGTTTTTAATTGTAAAATAAGTGGAGTCGCTCAGTAAGTAAGGCACTATGGTCTTATATTCTGGCTCACAAGTTTAAGTATGGCTGTGGAAGATAATTCTTTATTCAGTTACAATAGCCATGGATTGACCCTGAAGCACACAATCTGATGAATGAAGGAGGACGATAAACTATCGCTAAGTCAAAAACTGTTTCACAAACAGCGGAGTCTTGTTTACAGCGGATGTTATGGTAAAAGAACCAATTCTCTGTGCACCAAAGATATGCCCTTTTTGTCTGTACTTTCTCTCTTAATCTCTCCAAAATCCCAAGTAGAATTGCTGATTGATCCTTTGGCTTGGAGGAACAAATTTTGTGTGCATAATACCTTTGCAATCAAAGACACATGAGCATTGTCTTGACATTTGACTTCAGTTGGCATGCTTCTTTGGATGGAAAAAGACAGCTGTTTTCCACTGGCTTGATTGGTACTGTGTTTTGGGGTCATACACCATGATTCATCTCCAGTAACGACAGACCTGAAGATGATGCTTCCTGCGGTCGTCAGTGAGGTGAGTTTTGCTGCAACCCCTGTCATGTTAAATCTTTGGAAAAAATCCTCAAAATAAAATTCCATGTGTTGCTCCTGGCAGTCAGCCATTTTAACTGATATAAACGGAGAAAGTTGTTTTACTACAAAAATTCTCACAGACCAGTGCCCTAGTAACTCTTAAATACAAATTTGTTTTGAAATAAAAAAATATAAATTTTTAGGAGGATTTTTTTTTCTTAATGTTTACTAAATTATTTATAACTTCTCAAAATTCTCTCTTAAGTCAAGATTACTGCAACCATTGGAAAGCTAAATTATTCCTCTTCAAAACCATACCAATAACTTTCAAATTTTATGCCTTTACAAGGAATAATTAAAGAAAAACTCTCCATATGTTTTTATTTTTTATCTCCAAGCCTAATATATTTGTGGGTACCCAGATTGTGCCATTTCGTGTTTATCATAGGGCCCTAAATTCATGCTAATTTTTGTGTGGATAAGTAGAGCCGTATCAAAAAATGTTGTTGTCGAAAAATGTAAATTGTTTGCTCAATATTCTGCCTTCTATTAGAATAGAAGATAATTTTATTCTGGGATGAAATCCCTTGAGAATTACAAACCATACAAAAAAAAAAAAAAATAAATTATTCTGGCCAAAAGGCTCCATACATTATAAAATAAGAATAAAAAGAAAACTTAATTAAATAAAGTAATTATATACAAAACTATATATAACACTTCTAACTATAATGTGATAAAAAATTAATCTCAAATAACTGACTTATTCTCCAATAATTAAAAAAAATTTCTGTAAATTAACAATACATACAAAACAAATGAGTATTGATATAGAATATTCGCAAAATATCTTGTAAGAGAAAACAATAAAGATAAAAGAGAAAAGAAAATTAAATCAAACTCCTTTAATGGATGACTAAATTATTAAATAAAAGAAGATACATCTGTTATTTAAATCAGTTTTCAAATAAATTTAAATAGACTTACATTCAAGAGACAAAAAAAAAAAAATAATAATAACAATAAAAAAAAAAAAAAAAAAAAGGAGCATCTATGTGCTTCATAACACATTTGCGTCAAATATAGAGCTTTAAAAAATAAAATAAAGAAGAAGCATTTTATCAGGTTTCTGATTGTTTAGTGGATAGGAACTGGAATAGGAGAATTTTAAATGTGAATAAGGATGGAGTGTGCCAGATTTTTAAATGGAGGGAATTTGAGAAAGTAGCAGAATGAACAACAAAGGAGGTTTGGAATGAGGCAGATTTGTGAAAAGGGGTATAAAGAGCAGAAGTTCGAAATCTTTTATTAAGGGAATGGACTGAGGACTTGAATTGGAGAAGGTTGTAGGCATAAGAAGGACAATTATTGGTGATGATTTCATGAAGGACTGTTCCCAGGAAAAATTATCTTCAGAAAGAGGGGAAGAGCAACTCTAATTCAGTACAGTGGTGCGAGACACAAGGGGTCCCGATTACAAATCTTATGAAGTTATCCATAAGTTTTTTCAGTTTATTACGAATTTCCACCAAGAGGCCTTTGTATACCACACAACTGTAGCCGAAGTGGGGGAAGGTGAGGTAGGAGACCAGGAGTCTACCAGGAAATAGTACCACCAAAAAAGTTTCATTGAAATCGGTGACCCCATGTCCATAACTTCCTTGTGAGAAGAGACTAGTTTATAGGTCTGTATGACTTCAGAGGTACAGTATTACTATATTCTCACATTTTAAAGTGAAATTTCTTTAAACCTTTAAAAGGCACATTTAAGTCAATAATCAATATTTATTATTACCAACATTCACTCCTGGTGGAGCATAGAGCATTTACGAGTGTATTTCACGCCTCTCTTTTTGCAGCAATCATTTTTTCTTCTGACCAAGTCCTGCCAGCCCAGCTCAGGTCATTTTGTATAGATCTCTGCCATGTCTCTCTAGGTTTTCCTCTTCTTCTTATTTCTTGGGGATTCCATTGCAAAGTTTCTTTCTCGATTGTACTATCCATTTTCCTCAATGTGTGTCCTATCTGTAATCAATGAAATATATAATATTATTACAGAGCTTACCTCAAGATATTTTATAAATTAATCTTTTTTTTATTTTTATATTTATTTTATAAGGCATTCTTATTACAGATGTTATTATGGCTACTTTCGACAAGCTCACTCCTTTTGAACAATTATTACTTAAATGTGGAGCTGTTCTAGGAAAAGAGTTTAAAAGATATGCTTTAGTTTATATGATGGAATTTCCTTCTGAATCTGCAGTATGTGAAGGTGTAAATGTACATAATTTTTTTTTAATATATATTGTAAAAATAAAATTTTTTACTTTGTAATATTGATTAAGTAACTGTAAGGTATGCCAGGATTATGTAAGGTTTGTAAGGAGTGATATGAGTGAGGTAACTATTGATTTGAATTCAATGAGGAATGATGACAACAAACTGGTGAGATCTGTGGCATTTGAGGGAGGAGGAATTTGGGGTTCTTGATGGTTAGGTATGTTAGGATGAACAGGATATTGAGGTTGTGGCAGGGCTTCACATTTCTTAGTTGGGTTCTTATCTCTAAGTAGTCCAGAGAATGATACATTATTATTATTCACTATTCTAGAAGGTTCTCTTCTTGGTCTGATATTTGGATTTGAGGTTCTTATAAATTTGGCAGCCTTTGTAGTAGGCCGACCAAAATATTTTTCTCTAATCTCACTTTAGACATGACAGGACCCCAGGAAGTGCTTGGTATCTTCTTTTTCCCCAGAATTACTAACCAGACAATTATTATCCACCGCACCCACGGTTAAACACTTAAATTGAGTAATTCTGTCCTGGATTGGAAAATCAACCTTATCGATACAAGATCAAAACTGTCATTGAGATAGGATGATACAGTGGCAAAATCACATAAACCCTGCATATATAGAAAAATTTGACTGCAGTCATTTTTCGAGATTGCCTTGTTTTTCTGATTCCTCAACCATATGTTTAACTGCGATCAAATTTACCTTTAGGTCGGCGGTATTAGAAGTCTCAAGTCTAATATGATAAAATTCCTCTATTTCCAACCAGTCCCGGTACCAAACAACTTTATTTTTGATCACTTCTTTTGTTAGAATGTGTGGTAAATAGAAATCAGGCATCTCCAGAACTTTTAAAATGTTTTTTTAGTGTATAAGCGTATAAAGAGGTGATACCTGTCTCATGTGCCAAAATATAATTAGATACATACAATTTTTGCATGCAGGAGTAACAATTTTTATAAAAAATATTGTTTAAATTATATACATACATACATACATGTACTACCAGGTAATGTAAATGCAAAATTGGAATTTTGGTTTAGAAAATAAATATTTATTGTATATAATTTAAAAAAAATATTTTATTCAAAATATTGTCCATAGCTCTGGAAATGTTTGAATGGTAGATGCAAAAACAGTTGCTCTTTTGTATAATACTAGTCATGAAGCCATTTTCATATGATGTGAAGCATTGCCGACCAAATATGAGTTCCATCGATGTTGATAAAGAATAGTCAGATGGAGATTAGTCGATGGAGGCTAGATGCATGCTCTAATATTTCACAACTTAATTCCTTAATCATTTCCTTGCTGTGCATGATGGTTCATTATCATGAAGAAATATCGCTTTATGTTGTCTTATTTAATATTCTGGTGATTTTTTTACACAAAACTCGATTCTAATCGATCATTTGTTGTAGAAAGCATTCAGTATTAATGGTTTTCCATCAATTTTAGCAGCTCATAACAGATAACACTCTTCTGATTTCACCAAATATGTGAGTTATCTTCTTTCCATAGCGAATTGGCCTTGCATGATTCATCTGCTGTTTGCTGTTATATGTAATTTGTATTGTACTGAGATGAAAATCTTTGCTAGCTGTCATAGAAACAAAATAGTGCTAATAATGTGGTTTAACAGTAACTATATAAACAACTAAAGCCATCTGTGTACAAATTTCAGTTTCATATTTTCACACTGGTTTAAGAGTAACTATATTGACTATTACAGGCATGTATGAACCAATTCCAGTTTCATATTTACACATGTGATGTATGCATTCATTACTTATTTCTCAATTTATATTATCTGAGGTGCCCTTGGGAATATTCTCTTTTGTTTACTTATTAAATAGATTTTTATTTTGTCAGTATATATAATGAACTGCTAAAGTATATCCATGAAATGTAAATGTAAATAAATTTATTTCTAGCTGTAGAAGTTTTGTTCAAAATGGACATTCTTGGATGTGCCAATGTTATGCATAAACAGGAGTTTAATGAGAATATTTTATCCAGATCATTACCAGTTGCTGAGTGTCATTGTGACACAATATCTCTTTGTAAGTAATAATTTCATAATCACTTCTTCTTCTTCTTCTACTACATTCTTCCTTTAGGTGGCTAGGTCAGGGACTAAAATAAGGCGTTCAGCTGTCCTCCTGAGCACCTCTATACTTCCATAGAGCTTTTTTTGCACTTCAGTTGGAGAGGGCCAGGTCAACTTCCTTTACTCACAAAATAATCTGGACATTTGGAACTTGTGCTCAACAAATTTTGGGAACATGTTAGCTTTAAGCCTGTTGTGTCCCTTTTAAAATCAGGAGTTGAAGACCTATTCCTGTTGAGTAAGTTCAAATAGTATTTCCTGGTTTGTGATGTGGATGTCTCCTGATCCATCTTTGGTTAATAGTAGCTTTGTTTAACATCTTCACCTTTTCGAGGCTGAAACTACACTCAAACTGGAGGCTCCTTCCTGGGCCAGCTGGTATGCCCTTTCACTTCCAGAGAGGCCACAGTCTCCAGGGATCCATTGTAGGATGACTTTCTTAAGTATGAACCTCAGGTTTCCAAGTTCTCTGGCAAGTTTTATCAGGAGTTTGTTCTACTTTGATCTGAGAGAATAAACACTGACCCTGCATCAGTAAGGAACATAATTTTTGAGTTTTTGGGTTTCTTCAGTGTCCTAACAATCTTGACACAAGTGGCTTCTTGCTCAGCTCGATAATTCAAAGAAGTAAAGCCAGTTAGAGCATTCTCATTATATTATTTTCCCCATAGAAAATGGTTAGTGGATACCGGCCCCACTGTTTGTTGTTGCATTTTTGAGCGACCCATCAGTATATTTTTGAGTTCATGAGTCTTTCGGGTACTTGGTGTTTATATGTTGGAGAGAAAGGAATTTCAAGTGTTTCTCAGGTATATTCTCCTTGCTTTTGATATCCGGCATAGTAAGAACACTTTGTGGTTTCGGAAATTTGAACCACGAAGGGTTTTCTTCTACTGCTATTAATTGTTTTGTGGACACTTGCTTTTTGTAAATTTCGGAAACTAACTTTTAAGTCCTGTGGAGAATGCTCTGCTATTTTAGTCTGATTATATTTATTTCTGCTGCCATTTTTTTGAAAGGTATGTTTCCAAACAGAATTGTATTCTGCAACAAGGTGCAGGAGTTTCACATCTCTTCTGTCCTCTATAGAGGGAAGTTTCGTAAGTGCCCCCATTTTTCGAATTGGTGTAGACTTCATTGGTCTTTTCATAATCTCCCATCACTCAATAAAATCCCTGTATAGTCTTAAAGATTAGGAAGGAGTGGACAAAAATAGATAAAGTTTCAGGGCATCCAGCATGTTCATAGATAGGCCAAAGATTGATTATGTAGTCTTGGTCTGGTTAATGTTCCCAACTCATTTTTGGTCCACTAGCAGAGACTGTCCAGAGCCATTTGCATTGGTATTTGCTACGACTATGGAAGTCAATCTATTCTAGAGGGCAATATCATCTGCGAACAGAAAGGCTTTGACTTTATTTGGCAAGTCTTGAATAATGTTGTTTATGAATATTAGGAATAGTTCTGGAAAAAGTACTCTTCCCAGGGGCAAAATTTCCTTGCCCAGCTCCTTTTATTTCTTGAGTTGACTAAAGCTTTTCTTAAGTTAATCATTGAGTCATATGAGGGCTTCCCCTTTTATACCCATATTGGCAGCTTTAAGCCTTAGGTCCATTCCTTATCGAATGCCTTTTCCAGGTCGACCCAGATTGCCAACATGTACTCCTGTTTTTGAAAAATGTCCTCTATTTCTTGGGTAATATAGGTCACTTGATAAGTTGAAGTGAAATCTGTGGAAGCCTGTCTTTTTGGGAACTATGAGGTAATTTTTTCAAGTAATTAGATAAGCCGGTAGTTCAAGATTCTCTCCGGGGGCTTCCTATGTAACTAAGAAGAGTGACGGATCAACAACTGTTTGGGTCAACTTTTCTTTTGCCTTCCTTCAATACTGGGATAATTACTCCTTCCTTCCAGGTTTCAGGTACTTTTCTTATCTTCCACCTGGTATTAAAGAGCCTGAGCAAATGCTTCTTGTTTTGGAGTTCCAGATTGATGAGAAAATCGTTCAGCATACAATCAACTTCTGGAGCACTCCTCAGTTTCGGGCAACTGATTGTATTGTTTATTTCTTGCTTGATGAACGATTGATCCAGCTCCTCTTTCCTAGATTTTGCAGTCTATAGGGTTTCTTTTACTTTCTTCTTCATTTTTTTTCTTGTAGGACTTGTATTGATAGTTCTGCTTTGGCATATATGGTCAACTAAGAAATCTTCTGCCTTTCCCGAAATAAGTTTTTTATTTTTTAGTTGTTTATGTCTCCAGATAGTGATTTTGGCAGTTTCCAAAACTTCCTTCTGCTTATGTTGAGTCCCTCTGTTATCTAATGTCTGACCCTCTGTATAGATTTTTCTATCTATTTTGCAGTTGCTCCTTTAATTTTATGTTATTTTGAGTGGACAAGTATCTTTCTGCCTCATCCCTTAATTGTATTTTATTTTATTATATCTTGCTCCTCTGTCCAATATGTCTTGTATTACTTTCTACAACCTCTAGTTATACTTTCCTTTGCTGCTTGTAATAGGGCAGAGCCAAAGTGTTGGGAAATATGTTCACTTACATTGACACCAATGTTACGTTAATACAGGATGTGTAGATATATCATTTGGCTTTCTTGAAGTTCCGTATAGGTATGAGAGCCGCTTTGTTGCAAACACTTTGGGGAGGTAGTTGATTTCCAGACCCATAAGCAAAAAGAAAAAAAATAATAATCACTATTAAATCAATTTTTGACTTTCAATTATTTATTGCTATAAGAAATCTCTGTTTAGTTAACAAAGCCTTTCCTTGAACAAACTGAAATTCCCTATTATAAATCATCTCAGTTCATCATCTTGACCACCTTCTTGCTTTCCATGCTCATACGTACCTAGTAATATCTTTAATTTTACATCTATTTAACTTCTTGGTTATTGGCCAGAAAAAAACAGTTGAAAAATTGCCTTTATCAATGGGGTGCTTCCAAGAAAAGAAAATTTAAAAAATTTGAGCTGCAATGTAAGTCTTGTGATAAAGATCTTATTTGAGATTGAGATTGCATTTTTTAAATTATAAACTTGAACATGACTTACTTGTTCACTTAATTTATGAAATTTTGGATTGTATGTTCTAGTATTTTTTTTTCTAAGAACAGGACTCATTTTATAATTATAAAATTATTAGACTTTCACAGCATCTGAGGCAGAGACGGAGAAATGCTTCTCTGAATACTAGCTGTTTTACTCAAATACTGACCTTTTTTGAGTACCAAAGAATTTAATTACTACTTCAATTGATGTCAGACGATTAACTGAAGTAGTGATTGAATTCTCAAAAGTGATGCTATTTGAGTAAAATACTTGGTTCTCGGTACTCAGAGTAGCATTTGCCCATTTCTGATCTTGAGGTAGTGTCCCTCATGTGTCTGTATGTCACTCATGTGGTGACCCCCGTCCTTTCAACTTTGTCTAACACTAATTATCTTTGCAAATATACCTCAGAAACATTCTGGTCTTTTTGCATATTTATTATTATGAACTAGTTTTCACTAATGAATAAAAATTGAAAATTCATGCAAGTACTCCATTTTGTCTAATGGAGAGTTGAACTTTCAGACTGTAGCAGATATTTTTTAATATTCTACCTCTACCAAATTCTTTGGTCCATATGTCTATCATATAGAATTAGTCATTGATAAGTCAGATTTTAATGATAAAATACTTTGATTTGTTGTAATTGTTAATAAAAAATTTGTTGTATCTATTTCTTGTAAATATGCATATATTTTTCTTCTTATTAAGGAATTTTCCACTATTATAGTTTTCCTTGGCATAAATATCTTTTCAGATATTTTTCCATACTTCTTTCTCCAGTGCTTGTTCTTTCCTGATGCAACCATGCTTTCTTGCACCTCATCTTTCCACACACGCACGCACGCACGCACGCACACACACACACACACACACACACACACACACACACACACACACACACACACACACACACACACACATGTATCTGTAGGTTTTTTATCTTAATTAACAGTGGTATTTATCCGGATTTCAGCAAGACTGTCGTTTCCCAAATATGCATTCTGTGAATTTATAAGCTTTAAATTCTCAATTCTGGCTTCCACCATTTATCAAACAATCCCTGTAAATCAGCGGATTCAGTTTCATACCAGAGCTCTGTACTCTATAAAAGAACAAGTCATGAAATGCAATGAATGTATTCATCAGGAAATACTAATAAGCATAGAAAATAAAATGGATCAATCAAACAATGAGATTAATGGATCTGGATCTGACAATATGGCTGCTATTAAAGTTACATTAGAACAATTGCGCCGAGCTGAACCCTATAAAGAATTTACAAAGAAAAAGGACTTAGCAATGAGAAGAACAGCTATTGTTTCAGTAGATAATAAAAAATCTAAAAATAAAATCAATTTAGGTAGACGACATGGTGTTCCTGACGCACAGTTTAAATTGGATTTAAATGCTTTGAAACAAATGGCAGAAAGAAGACAAGAATCTATAAGTGTTAATGTTCGAAGAGTAATTCGTCAAGGTAGTAGCCGCAGTTTTCTAAAGGATCTCTTTGTGAGTATTTCATTTTTTCTTTAACATAAATATTTTATGGGTATACAACTTTTCAGTTAAAATGTTCATAGAATAACTAATGTCGATCACTTAAAAATGTTTTTATATATCTGAATATATAACCTAAATTTGCGAAGAAAAATATAAATATAAATACAGAAATAGGAAAAATAATTGACTCGCAAGACACTTGTGTAAAAACTATATTTTTATTATATTTCCAATGATGCTTTTTCCATACCTTTAAAAGTGTTGTTTATAATTAACATATGAGATTAAGTCTCAAATTATAGAAATAGAAATAGAAAATAACTTTATTCTGAGAAAAATTCCCTTTAGAATAACAAAATAGAACATAATTAAAATACTACATCTGGCCAAAATAAAACAATAATAAAAAAGAGAAAGTAAAGAAAATATTAATCTTTTCAGTCTAATTATAATGCGGCGAACCTAACTCCCCCTTTCCATTTTACTGGTATTCCCTTGTAAACTTTAACATTAATATTTTCATCCAATAAGAGAAATAAAGAACTTAATCGTCAAAAAAAATATGTAGCTCTTTTGGGAAAAAGAAAATTACGACAATATAACAAAAACATACGGGAGAGGAGGATATTCCATTCTTACTGTTCTTGCTCGGGCTCTTTCACCGGGAATTTCAATTGTTTAATGTGAACTGTCCTTTGTTCACTGTGTTCTTTAATGCTTTGGTTCGTTACAATGTTGTGTTCTCGAATCAGTTTCACTTTGAATGGTCCCTCATATCTGACCATCTCCTTTCCCCTGTTTTACCCTAATTTCCAGTAGACTATAATCACTATGCTAATGTTCTCCATCTTGTCTCGAACGCTAATATTTTCTCTCCCCACTCTCTTACATTTTTCTGTCTCTATCCTTTTGCGTGCTTTCCCAGCACTATTCTGTTATTGATAAGTTCATGCGACATAGCTTCTTCTGCCACTGTGCCTCCGATATCCCTACGCCATTCTCTGAGCCCAAGTAGTACCTCGAATGAAGAGAACTCCGTAACCGCGTGGATGGAATGGTTGCACGCAGTTATTGCTTTGGGCATTTCCACTTGGGCATTGCTTTGGCCATAGCTAATTTGCTAAAAAAATCAATTTAGTAATCCACTTATACCCCTTCCACATGAATGTGTTCACCTGTAGGTCACTTAGGGGTACATTTCGTGTAGGTGTTTCTTCTTGCTTCCTTTTTGGCGGATGCCAATCATATTTTGTGGTTTGGCACACTTCACATGCCCCTATTACCTCTTTTATCATATTTTTAATTCCTCACCAGAAAAATCTCCTTTTCAAAGCCTGTAACGTCTCCTTCACCTCTCGATGATCTTCCCCTGATGATAGGCGAGCGTTACCTCCTTTTACCTTTATTTCTCCTTTAACGTCTCTACAATGAGGTTACACCGCATGAATTTCCAATCGAACCCGATTTTATCGAACGGTACGCCACAATCTTTTAGTCTTCCCTCATATTGACGCATTACCTACCTACAGGTAGTGGGTTTTTCTGGGTTCAGAAGAATCTTCCAACACCCTACAGATCTGGCCTTCTCTTACCCCGGGTTGTGACCATACTGTGGTGATTTAGCACTTTTCGTACTTGACATACTCCATCTTCATCAGTCCTGATGTCTTGGTCTTCCAAATAATTTGAAGTATCTTGTCGTTGATAATCTCCTCCCTCTCTTCCCCTGTTAGTACTGCCCCTATTTCATCTTCTCCTTCTGGCATCCATTCTTTTAAAAATTGCTGTACGTTGCTCGAATGTTCTACTTTGTTCTATTCTATTGTGTTGGTCTGCATCACCCGCAATTGCCAATCTGCTAAAATGTTTTCCTTTCCAGGTTTGTAAGCTATCTCCATATTATATTGGTTGAAAAACTCCTTCCACTGGGTAACTCTCACCGACGATTCTTTTAGTTTCTCCACCCACAAAAGAGGTCTATGTTACGTGTGTACCTTGAACTTCCATCCAAAAACATATGGTCTGAAGTGCTCTATGGCCCACACTATGCCCAACAATTCGCATTCTTAAGTGCTATATCGCGTTTCTGTTTTTGTGAGACGTCTACTGGCGTACGCCACTGGCCTTTCTCCCTCGCTCCCTTCTCGTGAAAGTACCGCTCCGAATATGTAATCACTGGGGTCTGTGGTAATAGTGAATTGCTTTGTGAAGTCGGGGAACGCTAGTATAGGTTCATCCTGCAATCGTGCCATACATTTATGGATATTATCCTCTATAATGGAAGTAATCACTATTTCACTATTTTCTGTCCTTTTTTCAGGAGATTGTTAAGGGTCACTAAATATTCTACCATGTCTGGAACGAACCTCCAATAATAGTTCAGTGTCCCGAGTAACTATTATATCTCTCGGAATTGCCATCTTCTGGATCGCTTCCACCTTTTGTTTGTCTGGTTTAACTCCTTTGTTGGTTATTGTATGACCTAAGAAATTAATATGTCCCTGTCCTAAAATTGATTTTATACAGACAGCTCCAACCCAAATTGTCTCAGTCGGTCAGCTTCTTAGTCGGTCTCAGACGTTTTTTAGATGTTTCGCCTGTTGAGCCTCGTTTTTACTGAATATCAGTTAATGGTCCATATGTATCTGGCAGTATGACTCACCTATTCCTTGTAGGAACTCATCCATGATCCTCTGGAAGGTTTTGGGCGCATTCTTTAATCCGAATGGCATCCTTGTAAATTTGAAGTGGCCTCTCAGGTTCAGTGTACTAAACACCTTTACATGGGCTACCTAAGGTTATTAAATTACATTCACATACCTTTAACTGAAGAATATTTTCTGCTTCACCCTTTCTTTATCGCACTCCAGCTCATTATTGTGTTTGAACTGCCTGTATCAACTAGGCACCCCACTCCACTCACAACTCTGATGATAGGCAACCTTCCATGCTCATTCTCTATATTATTTATCAATACGCAGTTGCCCCTCTGTTTGCACTCTCCTCATTCTTTAAGACCTGTTTGCTGCTGCTGTCGGGTATCTTCTACTTTCTCTGACACTCCTTCCACCTTCACTTCTTTGGTACCCTGGATTGCCTACCTCTTTCACGGTTTCTGAGGCTTCAGTAGATTCAGCCGACTCAGATAGTGCTCTGCTCCTCTTCCTTACTCTCTGAGCGTTAATTTCCAGGGGTTCTGGTCGATTGATTTCTTTGTGCCTGCTCATGTAGAGGTCTTGTCTGGCAATGTGCCCTTCGGTTCCACATTCAAAACATCTTGTACGTGAGCCGTGTGCTACCAAATGTCCTGTCTTCCCACACCCATGGCACTTCCTCACTTCTTTCTTTCCTTCCCTTGTCTTCTTTCTACCAGTATCGCTCTATCAGGTTCGCCAACTTCAGTTTCTCTTCCTCTCCACGCAATGGGCTTGGTCCTGGTCCTTCTTTAGTTCACCCTGCTCCATCCCATCTCTTCTCTTCCTCTACATTTCTGGCTTCTTCTTCTCTGGCACTGGCATCGATCATTTCCTGGGCACATTCCACAAACAACTTAGCCCCTCTTTCCGTCCCATGTCCTTTGCGAGCTGGACTTTCAGGATTGTTGATAGAAACCCCATCCCGACTTCTACCTCAACTGCAGCTTTGGTTTCCCTCATCTTTTCTGTTAATTTATTGTATAGAGCTAGCAGCACGTTGTGAATCTGTGGTGGTTGACTGTTAAGGCATCACCATAGTTACTTTAAGTCAGTAGTGATACAGCTTTGGCTCCAGCTTTTTTTTTTTCTGTTCTTCCCTACCTCGCCTTTTAGCCTAAACAGGATTTTCCCGGGCTGGGGGATGAGGGCTGGGAATTTAAAATCTCTTCCGGCATCGGGAGGCAAACTCGTACTTTTTAATCTCTCAAATCTGTTATCCGGTTGCCAGGCAACTCGCGGTGCTGTGCACATGCTTTAGCCCATTCGTTCACCCCGCCCCCAAGTCTGAGCAGGTTGGCCCATTTCCTCCTTCTCTCTCCCTCCAAGGTCAATGGCGCATGAACTTCTACCTTCTCCCAAAATATTTTAGTATTCTCCTTTTTTAATAATAGTGCAAACTAAAGTATAATTTTAGAAATCATAGGTGGTATAAATTATACTTGCAGTGGTATGTTCTATGCTTTCCTGTTTATATTTTTGTTTGAAACTTTTCATTTCAAAAATTCATCATCCCTTCGAAATGTCCCTCCCCTCAAAAATTAAAAATCCTGTCAAAATGTGCCCTCTCAAAAATGTTGATGCGCAACTAGTGCCATAAAACCCCCTTCTGGACATACCTGATAGGTAGTCACCCCATATGCAAGAAATGGCCAGGTAGGGAGGGGAAGAAATATATTTATGGTCGAGAAAAATCTCATCAACTACAAGACTTTTGATTTATGTAGCCAAGTCCATAAACATAAATATTTGATAATTGTCCTTTATTAGTGGAATTCTACACTTTTGAGCAGGTCAAGGAATTAACTCACATTCCTTTTAACCTCGGGGAATGATATGGCTTCTGAGATTAAGACATGTATTAATTAATTAACAAAAATCAACAGAGAACGATGATATTAAGGTAGCATACTTGAGGGTAAATGAAAATGCTCACCATAACTTCAGTTGTAGGTTCGCCTTTGACGCAAACTCTCTGGGTAAAAATACTATATTATTAGAAATGCATTAATCAAAGCCAGACGAACCAAGATGACCATATTAAAAAATCAGATACATCCAAAATTACAGTGGTAACAGACTTGAGAAATAGTTTTTACCATCCTGAATGAATTTCACTCAAAAACTATTGGAAATGTTCAAAAACTAAAATACTGTTTATTTCATTAAAAAAAAAAAAAAAAAAATTAGTACTTGATAAAGACTACTTTGATTGATACATTCTCCCAACCAATGCAATTTTGATCTTTATAAGACCTTTCACAGCAGCTTCAACTGTAAGAAAACCAAGCTAATCCTTTATAAGACTCTTGTGGA